AGTTGAGAATTATGGGCATCGGTGGCAAACTTCTCAAATGGATCGAAAATTTCCTTGTCGGCCGCTCCCAAATTGTCTGCGTATAACAACAGCAATCGAGGAGCACATTCATAGAGTGTGGGGTCCCACAAGGCTCGGTGCTCGGACCAACCCTCTTTCTCTTGTTCATCAATGATTGTATAGATGGGTTAGACTGTGATTGTGCCATGTTTGCGGACGACATAAAAATCTGGAAAGTCATCCAGAATGCCGCCGATGAGACAAACTTCCAAGAAAATCTTTGTCGATTGGACGAGTGGTCCCGCAGATGGCTCTTGTCCTTCAATTTGAACAAATGCGCCATTCTGCGCCTCGGAAATCAGACCCCTAGTACGCGGCAATACCATCTTAACGGAACGCCACTCCGAGAGGCAGAAACTCAGAAAGATCTCGGAGTTTGGGTTGCAGACAGCCTAAAGCCTTCTACACAATGTTGTAAGGCGGCTAAGGCCGCAACTTCAATACTATATGCCATCAAGCGGGGATTCACAGTTTTCGATGAAGACTGCTTCTCCAAAGTCTTCGGCACGTTTGTAAGGCCGCATCTCGAATATGCAATTCAGGCCTGGAGACCATGGACGCATCAGGATTACGATCTGCTCGAAAGGGTGCAGATGTGAGCCACAAAATTAATAAGAGGTCAAAGTGCACTGCCATACGAGATCCGCTTAACTTACCTTAATCTCTATCCTCTAAGTTATAGGCAGTTGCGCGGAGACATGATACAATCTTTCCGTATCGTGCGCGGCTTGGATTGTGCCCTTCGACGCGATGACTTTTTCCAACTCGCCACTACAACTCATCTCCGGGGACATCCCTTCAAGCTACGTGTGCCACAGGGTAGACTGAATGTGAGAAAATATTTCTTCTCCAACCGTGTCGTGGAACCGTGGAATAACCTGCCTGAGACGGTTGTTATGTCTCAATCTGAGGCGATATTTAAATGTCGCCTTGACAGATATATGCTGCAGCACCAAGCGGACTATGTGAATTTTTAGCCATGTGAGTAGTGACATATGTGAATCAATGTATGCATTCACTTAATGCTGTAATTTCTTCACATTTTTGCTTGTTTATCGATTTTTTTAATGTACAAATAGGGAGTTCAAAGGCGTAAGCCCATTTCCCTCAAATACACTGACTGACTGACCTAGCTTTTTGAGAAAATTCTGATGGAAGGCATGCGTTTAAAGAACGCAACCTATCGTGTATAGCCTTCATCTGCATTGCCTTCATTACCGACGGCGTCGTGCGACCACTGTCCTTTGAACGATGATTTCTAACCCACAAACTTAGCAAGCGTTTCACTACGCCCAAGTAAATTAACTACATCGGATCTAGAGGAGATTGGGAAATAAGGCCTAGGTTGCAAGAGAGGAATGGAGACACTCCGACTCTGTGTTCGTCCTCGGCGGAGTGCAAGAAGTCCTCATCCGTCCTATCCCTCTCTCCTTTCTCCGGGTATACTTCTTTTCCCATATAAACACGCGTTACTGTACAACGTTCGCACCGATTATGCGCATTCACATTCTTAATTTGCTTAACGAAAGCCCTCGCCGGTACGTCACAAATAACAGAGCTGACGCAAACGCAGGTCTGCAGTCCGATGCTTTCGCTGCTGTTGATCCCTTGTTCGCTTAATGATGTTAACTCACTAACTACTAACTTACAGAATGCACGGACACCCGACGGTTTTCCCGTACCACGATAAATGCCAACTGGAAAGACGTTACTGACAAAGGGCCGCGACAGTCTCCCTAAGATTGGCCACATTTCGGTATTTGATTTTCTAAATACTGGGAGACCATCGATGGCTAACTGAATCTCTATATCGAAAGCTGGGTTAACTATATTCTTACTTATAAGCCTACGAAGTTGCCTTTCTAAGCCGACGTGCACATACTCACCGATACCCACTGGGACAACCTTTAGATCATGGGCCGCTCCCAAGAGTGTTCTGGGGTCTGCCGGTAGTTGGCGCACAATCGGCTTAGAAATAGCCAACAGGGCTCTTATGGGAGCTTGCGCAATCTTGAATTCCAGTGCCCATTCACGCAATCGTTTAACATATATGTCGCCCGGGGCAGCAGCTACAATCTCACGGTTTTCTGCGTCCGCAGACGCTCTTGCACTAGTCCTCAGGACAGCACTTTCGGCCGACGAAGTGGTCCTGTCCTCCTGCATAGGCTCTAAGAGTTCTGAGCCGCCACATAACGTGCTTAAAGGGCGACTTTGCGATTTTCGTCTAAGTTTCACAGCCTCCACGGTTTCCCGGAACTCCTCGTCTCCATACCTCTTAATACGTCGTAATTGTGTTCTCCGGGATTCCTGCCTAAACATGGTAAAGATAGAAACAGCAAACAACAGGTTTAAATCAATAATGTGAGGTAAGTGCAAGCAGTGTCACGTCACGCGTTCCACACCGCTCACGCGAAATAATGGCGTGCCGCATGTGCGCGCAATCGAAATGCAACTAAAGAACGGCAACCAATGAAATGGCAGATTGCACAAACGAGGTAGCCAATTACGTGACAGACATACATATCTCGATTTATCGCTATTCATGTATATCTTCTCAATATCTATTGCTACTAGGGATGTATACCGACCGTCATAACCGTCCCAGCGATCGATTCTCTGAATACTTACATGTAGCCAAAATTTTCCTAAAAATTGCTTTGCCTTCTTTTACAACTTCAACTAATAGAGGTAGAAGGCCAACAATCTACAGACAAGGGTTTAAGGCCATGGTTTCCAGGACCCTATTTTCAGCAAAAGTCGGGGAACCAATTTTAAGCTAAAAATTAGGGAAGAAGAGGAAAAACGCAGGAATGGGAAGAACAGGGCGAATCACTCAGAAAAACTTAAAATTACTACCAATGATGTAGCAAAGTCATTGGGTCCAGATAATATATCGGCGAGGTATTTGAAAGAGTTCCCAAACACTCCATACCACTGGCGCCTGTGTTCTACTCGCAATTTGAAGTAAAGAGACTGGTATCCGAATAAAGACGGCGGATACCTACCCAAATTATAACTGTTGGGCTCGAACCACGGACAAAAATTACCGTCCCATTAGCCTAGCCTGCATCTGTTGTAAAGTAGTGGAAACCACGCATAAGCGGATGACAACGACGGTGTGTAGGAAATACGCTTACTCTCAAGCCTCTAGCACGACTTTAGAGAGAGCCGTCCTTGCTTTTCTGATTTGTTCTCGACTGAGCGGTGGACTCGTGCCCTGGTCGGAGATGGTGGAATTGACGTTATCTAAACTGACTTCAGGAGGGTATTCGCAAGCGTTCCACATAAACGCCTGACCTACAAATTATCTAAAATTCGAATAAGAGGGAAGCTGCTCACATGGAACGCGGAGTTTCTCACAGGAAAATTGCAAACCCTTATGTGCTGGTGCCTCGAAGTCAGTCTCTAGTCCTATTTTAGGTGGTGACTCGATAATTCGGTTCTTGGGCCGTTACTCTTCTTAATCTATGCCAGCGTCCGTATTAGCAAATTGGTTTGCGGCGCCGCTGTGTTTTCCGATGATGTCAAACTCTAGAGGGCCACCAGGTCTGACTCCGATTGACACACGTTTCAAGTGACTCTTGATCGACTTAGCAGCTGGTCAACTCATTGGTGGCTAAATTTTAAAGCGGGTATGCGAGTTGTCCTAAGACCCCGTGCCAGAATGACAAACGAGGAATATAACTCTTTCCGACACCTCCTACGTGGGCAGCCTCTCTCAAATTTTGAGATGCCAATGGTTTCTTAATACCTTTGCCTCCGTCATCGTCACAAAGCTTAAAAGCAAAATGCGCGACCCATAAACTTCTCTCAGCCCTTCCGCTCGTTCAATAGAGCCCTAAAATGAAAGTTAAGGAACAAACCCTTGGCAAGTTGGAATAGGAGTACGAAGTTCAAAACGACTCCAGTCGATCTCTTGGGACCTGCAGCTTGCAGCGTATCCTGCCCGGGCCGTCAAGACATCATGCCACTAACGCGTGACAAGCGAACGATCAAGGTCGGGACCTCTGTTCACACCTTCTTTGTGCTGATTGGCCATCCATCAGCCTATGACAGTCTCCCATGCAATATACCCGGTCGTTTCCACAAGCCTCCTTACTTTTGCTGTCTATCGTACTCAGTACACGTTCTATTTCCAAGTAACCTTCTGTTTTGCATACATAACACGGCTGGCAATGCAGTCGGAACTATACAAAGAAATTCCGTGATTGTCAGAAGTGGGCAATAGTTGAGGGCTTACTGGAGTCGAAGGCTCCAACCCCAAATGAGAGGATCTCATCATACCTCGATATATCTTTACACCTCCTGAACAATGTGTTTATAAATAAATAAATAAATTTTATTTAATGCCAGTTTACAGGCATTGTCAAGGGAAGCGATTAAACACAAATCCGACCAGCAGTGAAAAAAACTCCTGAGCTAAAGGGATAAAAATATAGTTGATGGTGGTTTTTATGGTTTGGAGGGCTCAGGAAAAAAACTGCCGGTGGTGGTAGAATATCGACCGTCAAGAAGGGGGGAGGTTGCACGGTATCGGAGATTATCGGACGTCAAATTCCTTTCATGAAGTTGGGAATAGTCAAAGTAGAGGCGCTGAGGAACAGCTGGTGAGACCGGCCATAGTGTTCAGAGACCACAAACGCCATCGCTACGGTTCAGTCGATCAGTAGATTTGTCGAAAGTTGTTGTGATCGACAAGATAAAGATTCCCAATCAAAAGTCAGGGAAGACGGTTTGAGTTGGACAAACTTTACTGCTTGGAAAGCGTGTACACAAAGGCTGTGTGGGCAGTCGCCGCAAGCGTGCTCCAAGCAAGCTGTTGTCTGTGTCCGCCTTCGAGGTGTTGTGTCAGCGCGTGTGTGCACCCTTCGTTGTCTCAATCTCGCCAGCCAATCAGAGTGGGGGCAGCGTTGATTGGCTTCGAGCACTCGCGCATCCCATCAGCGCATTGACAAGGAGTGTGAGGCGGACAGGAGGGCAGCGTGACAAAGGCGGAGAGCGAGGAGACGCGAACTGCTACAGTACCCCCCGGCTAGACCGAAGGTGGCGCGTAGCGATACCGAAGGAACTGTTGATGTCTAAAAAAAACATGAGTAACGAAACGGTCAGGAAAGTGAACATGGCGTCCACTACGGGTGATATATACAGGGGGCACAGGATTAGAGTGAGTATGGCTCGCGGTTACAGTGTTGTTTGTTGATGAAGGGGTAGTTGCAGTTGGGAGTTGTGGACATGAGGGCAGAAGAAGTATACGGGACGGTGGAATAGAGGGTCGGGGAGGCGGAGCAGGGGGTAGGGGACCACAGGGCTCATCCGGAGGAGTGTCCGGGAAGGCAGCTTTGAGACGGTCCACGCTCACGACCTCCTCGCGAGTGCCGCGTTGGATGCGGAAGTTCTTCGTCCCACGAGAGATAACTCGGAAGGGGCCATCGTAGGGTGGTTCCAGGGGCCGGCGGACTCGATCACATCGGAGATAGACGTGAGAGCATGTTGCCAAGTCCTTCTCGAGGTAAGATTCGGAGACGGATGGCTTGGGCGGAACCGGAGAAAGTGTCCGCAGGAATTGCCGGAGGCGATGCAGGAGGTTGGTGGGATCCTCAACTGCAACTCGCGGGGTTGGCGAGATCATCTGACCGGGAAGTCGTCGGTGGCACCGAACATGAGTTCAGCGGCAGAACAATTAAGGTCCGACTTGAGGGAGGAGCGAATGCCCAAGAGGACTAGGGGGAGGTGGTCTGTCCAGTTCTCCGGATCGTCTGCGGCGCGTAGGGAGGCCTTCAGCTGACGATGAAACCGCTCGACCATCCCGTTGGCTGCCGGATGATAGGCTGTAGTGCGGATGCGAGTACAGCCTAAAAAGGTGAGTAAAGACTGGAAGAGGTGAGATTCAAATTGGGCACCCCGGTCAGTCGTGATAATGGAGGGAGCACCGAAAATGGCAACCCAACGACTGAGGAAAGCCTTGACGACCGTTGGAGCTGCGACATCAGGCAGTGGAATAGCTTCCGGCCACCGGGTGAATCGATCCACGCAGGTAAGGAGATAGGAGCAGCCATTGGACAGAGGCAGGGGGCCGACGATGTCCAGGTGGATATGACTGAACCGTGCGTCCGGAGTAGGGAAGATGCCAATGGGAGTTTTGTTGTGCCGTCGGACCTTATTCCGTTGACTGCCGATACACGCCCGTGTCCATGCTTTCAGGTCGTTGTGCATTCCAGGCCAGACGAAGCGGTCGGAAACCAGCTTGTCGGTTGCTCGACTCCCAGGGTGAGAGAGATTGCGCAGGGAGGAGAAAACTTTACGGCGGAGGGATGGTGGCACAAATGGACGATGGGATGGGGTGGATACGTCGCATAGAATAGTGCCGTTGCCAGTCGTCAGTGGTAGTTCCTGAAGTTGGAGTCCGGAAACATCCTCATCACAGGGTGGACCGACAAGGCGTTGTTCAGCGGCCATCTCAGCGAGGTCTATCCCGGGTGAAAGCTGAAGATGAGCAATAGAGGGCCTGGACAGAGCGTCAGCCACCTCATTCCTTGACTCGTCAATATGGCGGATGTCTGAAGTGAACTGCGAAATGTAGTCCAGGCGACGGATCTCCCGGGGGCTTAGCTTGTCAGAGTGGGAATGTATTGTAAACGTGAGTGGCTTATGATCAGTGAAAATTGTGAACTCTCGACCTTCGAGTAAATGCCAGAAGTGCCTTACGGCAAGATAAGCGGCGAGAAGTTCACGACAACAGCCCTGTCCAAAACGGTTAATGCCGAATGTCCAAAAACAGTTCGTAACGCCCAGAAAATTCTTGGATCGGATGGGTCCAGCACAAGTAATGGTATTGAGGCCATCGCCGAATCTACAGACCATCATTCGCTACCGTCCATATCAACGGCCCCCTCCAATTTAGTTAAAACTGGTGTCGATCATCAAAACCGCGATATAGCATGTGTTCCACCACCGCCATCTATTACCCCTAAAGTACCGCATCCACCAGAGAGAAATACAGCAACAAAATATACGAACGATATCGCACGAGACCAATGTCTCGTTATTCAGGGGCTCCCTGAATCTAATGCCAACACTCCTAAAGACCGGGTTTCGGAAGATCTAAGGCTTTTCCAAGGCTTGCTTAACAATATCCTGGAAACCACTGAGGCAATTGAAGTACTCAAAGCGTTCCGTCTCGGAAAGCGGACAAACAATCTGCCTACATCAACACGCCCTCGACCACTCAAAGTTGTGCTGGCTTGTAAGGAGCAAGCTGGGTTGATTCTATCTCGGCGCTTTAGAATAAAAGGCACAAACCCCGGTGTTTTTTTTTCAACCGGATTACTCGCCAGCAGAGAGGCTGAAACGTCGTCTTCTAGTTCTGGAACTGAGGAAGAGACTCAACGAAGGAGAACGGAATTTGGTTATCTACAATAACCAAATCAGACAGCGCCCATCATCTTTTCTTTGGACGGGCCCGATCCGGATGACCGTGCAACTGGAATAGTGGGCGAAAGTCCTAGACGCCTCGAACTTAGTTCTCTGCCAGCCGCAAATCGCAAACTGAAATTTCTATATACAAATGTGCAGAGCATGTTATCGAAAGTTGACGAGCTCAAGATCCATCTATCTCATCTATCCCCGGATATAATCTCACTTACAGAAACTTGGCTGAACCAGCAGGTAGACAACCGTGAGTTAACTATACCAGGATACCAGCTGTTTAGAAGAGACAGGTCAGGACGTCAGGGCGGAGGCGTACTCACGTATGTAAAACACGGGCTTATGGTCTCAGACAAAACAGATAAACTTTCTTGTACTTCTGAGGCTATTTGGCTAACTATAAAAGCACCGGGTTCACCGAGCCTTGACATCCTGACGGTCTACCGACCGCCGAGAAATGATCCCACAGCGGAAGCCCATCTGATTGAGGACCTGGAGAGATTCTCTATCCGGTTCGAAGTCTTAATCATGGGGGACTTCAACGCACCTCTTATCGACTGGAGTTCAGCTTATGCATCTGGTCCAGACCATGCTTTCGACCGACGTTTGCTGGACATGACCTTCAAGTTATTTCTCACTCAGCACGTCTCCTTTCCGACGAGGGTGCGCGAAGGGCAACAGTCAAACTGTCTGGATCTGCTCCTTACGAAGTCACTGGACAGCGTTGATGAGGTGCAATGTCTACCCCCTAGGTCGAAGCGATCACGTCGTACTGTTGTGGGAGTACTCCATTTTTTCTCTGCCCGAACAGGCCACCAGGGTTAGAAGGAACATTGGGCGCGGTGACTTTGCCCAAATGAAAGCTGAACTAAACACCATAAACTGGGAATCAGCTTTTTCCGGTGACATAATCAAGTGCTGGGACTGGTTTAGTGAGTTATTGCACGTTCTTCTCAGAGACCACTGTCCTATTTCACGGAAGAAACTAAATTGCAGACCCCCGTGGCTAACACAAGCTTTAAAAAATGAAGTGAATAAAAAGCGGAGGTTATGGAGAAAATTCCTCTCGGATAGGAGCTATGTGTCGTTAAATGCATACAAAGCACAGAGGAACCTAGTTCGGAGGTTAATCCTCGGGACGCGGCGTACTTTTGAGAAAGACCTACTAAATCGAGCCGCAGAAAATCCGAAGTTGTTCTATGGTTACATAAGAAGAAGCACACGAAACAGAGACCCAATCCCGTTATTGAAAACTAGTGACGACCTAGAACTCAGTGAAGACGGAGAAAAGGCAGAGCACCTTTCACAGTTCTTCAAGTCCATCTTTACGAAGGAAAGCGCATTTCTCCCTCCCGACTGCGACATAGTGGACGGGCCAACGATTGAGCACGTCTCTTTCGCCGAAGCTATTGTTTGCAAAGAACTGTTGAAGTTGAATGAGTCTAAATCACCTGGGCCGGATGGCATACCGCCCAAATTGTTGAAGGAACTTGCTGGAGAACTATCCAAACCGCTGTCCATGCTCTTCCAAGCTTCGTTCGAAGCAGGCTATTTGCCCTCCGATTGGAAATCAGCGCGGATCACGCCAATTTATAAAGGCGGCAGCAAGGTCTTAGCAAACAACTACAGACCAATCAGCCTTACTTCAATTTGCTGCAAAATTATGGAGAAAACAATAAAGCGAGAAATAATGCACTTCCTAGAAGAGCATAATCTGCTATGCGATGCCCAGCACGGATTTCGAAGAGGCAGATCATGCGTGACGAATCTACTATATTGTTTAGATCGCTGGACCCGGGCAGTCGATGGCAGCAATGCAGTGCACGCAGTCTACGTCGACTTTAAGAAAGCATTCGACAGTGTACCCCATCAGCGTCTCCTGTACAAATTAAACCGAACAGGCCTGAGGGGTAATCTCCTGAGGTGGATACAAAGTTTCTTGATCGGTCGCTCTCAAATCGTCCACGTCGGTGACAGGCAGTCGGCGGAGGTAGCGGTTGAAAGCGGTGTTCCACAAGGCTCCGTTCTTGGCCCTACCCTATTCATTATATACGTCAACGACTGCGTCAGTGAACTGAATTGTGATGTCGCCATGCTCGCTGATTATGTTAAACTTTGGAGCGTCATCCGAACTGAATTGGACGAAGAGCGCTTGCAGGCAGACCTGACCCGACTCGAGAAATGGTCACAGGACTGGCTGTTGCCGTTTAATGTGACTAAGTGTAATGTCCTGCGAGTCGGCAGGACCCGATCTCTGACCTGGAGGGTTTACCACCTAAACGGCGTACCATTGCAGGAGGTAGACGCCCAGAAAGACTTGGGGGTGTGGGTAACGGCTTCTCTAAAACCGTCGCTTCACTGCTCCAAGGTAGCCAAGTCTGCGATGTCAGTCCTTTATCTTGTCAAGAGAGCTTTCTCTACCTTCGATGAGGACTGCTTCGTTAAAGTCTTTCGGACTTTCGTACGGCCACAGCTAGAGTTCGCTATTCAGGCGTGGAAACCGTGGACCTCTAAAGATCTCAGCATCCTTGAGAAAGTTCAGAGGCGGGCAACCAAACTCGTAAGTGGACAGGGTTCACTACCCTATGAAACCCGATTGTCCAATCTCGGCCTCTTTTCACTGAGTTACAGACAGCTAAGAGGCGACCTTATACAAACATTCCGTATACTGCGCAGTCAGGACTGCTGTCTCGTACCTACCGATTTCTTTGAGTTAGCGACCACAACGAACCTCCGAGGTCATCCACTTAAACTACGCGTAACTGGCGCCAAGCTGGACACTCGGAATTTCTTCTTTTTAAACAGAGTGATCGAGGCCTGGAATGCTCTGCCTGCAGGTGTCGTCATGTCCACCTCCGTCGAGGCTTTTAAGCGCAACTTGGACCAGATTGCCACCAATCGTCATAATGCCACCTGACAGATTGTCTAGCATTTCGTTCGAACAGTTTTTACTGCTGTTATATTACTTCCTGTATTTCAGTAACGTTTGTTTTTTAATATTGTCCCATGTCTGTTGAATGTGTGTTGGCATTCAGTTCGTCTCCCTCCAAAACTGAGATAGCACCAACTATCCCTAGACAGACTACTGTACAGCACATTTAGTAACGTTAATGTTTTTAACTCTTGGGACAATTCGTTTATCTGTCTGGCTTACAAAACGTTGCCAATCTGAAGAAACTCTGTAGCCGTTTGATGTTTTCATTTTCAAAGTTTTTTTTTATTGTTCGCCTCCTTGCAACAAATAGGGAGTTCAAAGGTTTAACACCTATATTTCCCTCAAATAAACTGAACTGAACTGAATGTGCTGTAGCGGGTTTCGGCTTTGGATAGTTTCTTGGAGAAGAAAGCCAAAGGCACGGTAGAATCCGGCAGACTGTGTTGAAGAACCGCGCCAACAGCAACATTGAAGGCATCGACCATCAGAGATATGAGTGCATCAGCGTGAAAGTGAGTCAGGGTGGTGGCGTCAGCCAGAAGGGCTTTTACCTGCTCAAATGACGTGAGTGCGGCTGATGTAAATTCAAAGGTGCGCTTAGAACCAGAGAGGAGACTGGTCAGAGGTAGGATGGTGTCGGCACAGTTTGGGAGAAACCGGCGATAAAAGTTCACCATACCAAGAAACCGTTGCAACTGACGCTTCGAGGTAGGGGGTGGAAAGTCCCAAATGGCGGCAACCTTTGAGGGAAGAGGCCGAATGCCGTGGGAGTCGACCAGATGACCGAGAAATTCTAGGGAGGGCACACCGAGGACGCACTTTGACGGGTTGAGAACAACGCCAAATTATTGAAGGCGGTCAAACACCGTTGCCAGATGTTCCATGTGTTCTTCGGTGGTGGAGCTGGCTAACAGAAGGTCGTCGATATGGGCGTAGACAAATGGTAGGCCGCGAAGCACTCTGTCTACGAACCTTTGGAAGGTCCGGGGGGCGTTGCGAAGTCCAAACGGCATGCGAAGGAACTCAAAGAGGCCAAAGGGGGTGGTAACGGCCGTCTTCGAAGCGTCGTATGGGGCTATGGGAATTTGGTGGAAAGCACGGACCAGATCGATCTTCGAGAATACAGACTTGCCGAATAGGGCACCGGCAAAATCCTGAAGATGTGGGACAGGGTAGCGGTCCGGGACAGTAACGTTGTTCAGGGCCCTGTAATCACCGCAGGGGCGCCAGTCACCAGTGGCGGCCTTTGGAACCATGTGGAGGGGTGAGGCCCATGGGCTTTCAGACTGGCGGATGATGCCCATTTGAAGCATGTGCTCGATTTCGGCCTTGGCGGCAGCAAGACGTGTAGGCGCGAGACGGCGGGGGCGAGAAAACACGGGAGGGCCGGTGGTCCGTTTGTGGTGAACAACGTCATGTGGTGGAATAGAAACGTTGAAGTTGGGGCGAGTGAGGCCGGGGTATTTGGCGAGGAGTTGCCGAAATGGATTCTCGGGTTCAGGGTCCAAGACGGCAAGATGACTGGAGGCGTCAGAGGAAGAGATACCCCGGACAGTGAGGTTGGTGGTCTTGTCGTGTAGACGTGACTGACGGCAGTCGACCAGAAGATCGAAAGCGGCGAGGAAATCTGCACCGAGAATAGCACAAGGGATGTCAGCAACGACGAAGACCCAAGGGAAGAGACGCCGGAGACCGATGCCCAGAGAGAGGGAACAGGTGCCAAATGTGGTAATCGGCGATGTGTTGACAGCCTGTAGGAAAAGACCGGGATTGGGACACCGACGATCAGCTGGTGTGGGTGGAATGACACTTAGCTGGGCACCAGTGTCAACCAAGAAACGTCTGCCACTCCTGGTGTCGCGGACGTAAAATGTGCGACCAGGGTTAGAGCTGTCGGAAGGATTGCTTGCACTGACCTTCCGGCTGACCGGTTTTACCCGTTTGTTCTGCTTGAAAGTGAAGGAACAAGGAGAGACGCAGCGACGGGCTTTAGCACCGAAAGTAGTGTGGTACCAGCAGGTGGCAGCTGCGTTTGGACGGGCTGAATGAAAAGACTGGACATGCGGGGTGGACGGCTTCGGTTTGCTCCGAGATGAGGCAAAAACTTTCTGCTTCTGTAGAGCGGCTATATCATCGGCCAGTTTGCTGAGCTCGATCTCTAACTGCGAAATGGGAGACGCAGGAGGAGTTGAGAGTGCTGAAATAGACGGCTTGGAAAAGCCGTGCATCTCCATAAGCCGATCAGCCATCTGAGTAAGTTGCGTGGCCGAAAGAATACCGAAGGCGGGTGCCAAAATATGCCGCACTTCCGGTGGAAAATTGTCCATGATCAACGCCTGACTTTGTCGTAGATTAGGAAGAACGAAGATTGCTGTTCGTAAGGAGTCACCAATTGTCAAAAGTTGTTGTGATCGACAAGATAAAGATTCCCAATCAAAAGTCAGGGAAGACGGTTTGAGTTGGACAAACTTTACTGCTTGGAAAGCGTGTACACAAAGGCTGTGTGGGCAGTCGCCGCAAGCGTGCTCCAAGCAAGCTGTTGTCTGTGTCCGCCTTCGAGGTGTTGTGTCAGCGCGTGTGTGCACCCTTCGTTGTCTCAATCTCGCCAGCCAATCAGAGTGGGGGCAGCGTTGATTGGCTTCGAGCACTCGCGCATCCCATCAGCGCATTGACAAGGAGTGTGAGGCGGACAGGAGGGCAGCGTGACAAAGGCGGAGAGCGAGGAGACCCGAACTGCTACAGATTCAGCCCCCAAAATTTGTGGGAGCCTTTCTGAATGCAAAAATCGAGTAATAGTTCTCTTAAATAAAGGATAATTTTGCAGAGTTTCTCCACTCATTGGTAGTTTATTCCAAATAGCAATTGCATTTACAGAAAAGAACCGACGATATTTAACAGTACGTGCCAGAGGCAGAAATAAAAAGACCTCACGGTGACTGTTACGTCGTGGGTGGATATGATGTCTTAAAAAGGTGAGTGGGTTAAATGTGTGATTATATTAGAGTTTAAATAGCAAAAATAGTCCCTTTTGTAATCTACGGAACCATAAAGGATCGAGGCCTGTAAGCCGGCAACGTTCTTGGTAAGACAAATGTCGGTGTTTCGGGGGGAAAATTCTCTTGGTAAAAAGTGTTGAACGGATTCTATTTTCTTCCGCTCAGTAGCACGCATGAGGCTAAATGAAAACGAACAGTATTCCAGACCAGGTCTAACGTACATGTTGTAAAGGCGCATTCTGATGTCCCTAGTTTTAAAGTTCCGGAGGATAAACCCCGTCGTTCTACGTGCTTTGGAGACTATCAAGGCACAGTGCTCCGAGAGATTGAGACTCTTGGAGTATGATACGCCCAAATCCTTTATAACCCCTGGCACATTTATGGAGTGACCTTCAATACTTAGTTGAGGTTGGCGGTCGTCGCCAACCACCATGACTGAGCACTTATGCCAAGAAAGAGAAAGGCGCCATGTGCGGCACCACTGGGCGAAAGCCTGTAGATCGCTCTTTAGGAACTCAAGCACGATGTCATGATCTGCCGGCTTATATCGATATGCAACTTTAAGATCATCGGCATACATGAAAGGCTTACCATTCTGAAATAAATCGGGTACATCATTAACGAAAAGGCAAAATAAAAGTGGGCCGAGTACACTACCCTGAATGACTCCACTCCTCACACGTGTGGGGTTGGAGATGGTATTGGAAATCTTAACTCGTTGTGTGCGAGTGCCCAAATAAGAGGATATAAAACTCAAAAGTTTGCCACCTATTCCGAAAGAGGACAATTTCAAGAGGAGAAGAGCATGGTCAACACGGTCAAAAGCCTTAGTGAAATCGAAATATACTGTGTAAAGAGCAAAACCATGGTCCCTAGATTGGAGAACATAGTCAAAGAAAGAGAGTTGACAGGTGTCACAAGGTCGAGCTTTGAGGAATCCATGCTGAGCAACACTCAGTAAGTTATTCGCTGTTAAGTGACACATCATCTTATCTTTGATCAATGTCTCTAAGATCTTCGAAACTGCGGGGAGGGTGTTTATTGGCCGAAAGTCATCAAATGATGTAGATTTGCCGTGCTTAGGAATGGGCAAAATGTGTGATTCCTTCCACAACGTAGGATAAGTTTCACTTTCAAGAGCGAGATTAAATATCTTGCATAAGAGGGATGGGAAGATCGTGTTTGCATCGGCTTTTAAAATGCTTACTGGGACACCATCAGGGCCTGGACTATAAGATTGACGAAGACGCCGAATCGCAACAGTCACATCACACAGAGTGAAAGTTATAGTTTCTAGAACTGCCCCGGTCAATGACTGGATGGTCGGAAGCGGAGTGGTCGAGTCTTCAATGAACGTTTTGGACAGGAAATCATTGAAGCTATCCGCGGTTAACTGGGCATCAACTATAGGATTGCCGAGATCGTCTCGAAGGATGGGATACTGCGTCTTTCTCTGAGTTCGTATTTTTCTAGAGAAAAGTTTCGAGACACTTAACGAATGGTTTTTGGTAAAGTGGACCTCTTCGGCTAGCTGTTTTTCTTCAGACAATCTCTTAGGTCGATCAAAAATATCACAAATCAAGGGCAGAACAGAAACGTCGTTCTGCAAATGGAAACGACGATAAAGCCTGCGCAATCTGCGACGAAAGGGTAAGGGTAGGAAAACCTCATCCCCGACATTAATAATTTTCTTACGGGGGACAAAACGAGAAATAAGCGGATCCAATATTTCGTACAGTTTTGCAGTGCAAACATTTACATCCGGACTAAGGAAGAAATCAGTCCAGTCGTACGAATTAAGGTGTGTTAATAATTCGGTTGAGCGAGTTGATCGGAAATCGCGGAAAAAGTTATACTTTTGGGACGACATTTCGTCAGCCTCGAATTCCAACGTTGAAACAACTATGCCATGGTCTGAGTCCCCCACTGGGCCTAGGGATGACACTGACGATGGCAAGCAGCCTCTACAGAAAATTAGGTCAAGTATACTTGAGCCTCGGGTGGGAAAATCGACAACCTGAGTCCACATCCCAACATCCACAGCCTCAAGAAAGTCATCGAACCTTCTGGGGCCTGAAGGCGGAGACCAGCGGACTTCAGGGAGATTAAAGTCACCCGCAACCAGTTGATACTTAAGTCTTAAGTCGGCCGCAGCATGAAATGCATGTGAGAGTAAACGATCAAAATTGTCATTGGCGTTGGGAGGGCGATAGACGCAGCCAGTGAGTAAGGAGAACTTATTTTTTAGTGCAACATGGAGCCAGCAGCTGCCTTCTACTGCGGAAAAGTGCGGGAGGTCCAACGGCAAAAATGTAAGTGTTTGCTTAACGTAGACGCAGCTGCCCCCACCACGGCTATCTTGGCGATCATTTCGAATGCAATTGTAGCCTAGAAGAGAGAGTGCGGAGTCAGCTACTGAGGCTGATGACCACGTCTCAGTTACTAAAACAATATCAGGACAATGGACTGAAGCAAGAGCATCTTATTAAGCAAGGATCTGGCATTTAAAACAAAAAGTTTGAAGGGAAAGGCTGTTAGTTTTTGAGGGAGGTGGGCTACACCGTCCAGTTCTGGGTCGCCCACGGAGCAAACGGTCCGGATGCAACCAATCGGTTTTGCAAAACATTTTGTGGCATCAAAAAATTCTTACGTGTATAAAAAGGGGTAGGACTTGGGGGAAAACGTTGGTAAGCAATCAGAACCTGTGACCACGACCTGTCAAAACTGTTTCGGGCATCAAAGAAGTGGCTAATTTGCCTCTGTCCAGAAAAGCAGCCCCGGAGCCGTCAGTCAAACTACTCTCCAACGGAACGTCTGGAATGCCGTGAAGTAGTGACGGAACTAAAGAGGAGACTTGCAGCTGTGGATTATAACTTGGCTGTTTTCATGAAACGAGTGACATAAAGGAATGTGTTGTTGCTCTGGAGCCAGCCAGTGCTCATGATTGCAGCGGCAAAATTATTGGCAAACTGGAGACAAACCGAACAAAGTACTATCGAATGTTGCAAACTTAAATTCTTTGCACGGATGCCCAAAGTCTGTTATCCAAGCTCGACGAACTGAGAAGACAGGTAGCCTATACATCTGCAGATTTTATAGCACTATCGAAAATGTGGCTGTCATAGGACGTCGGTGCTTGCGAGGCAGCACTGTCAGGATACCAATTGTTTAGGAGAGACAGGTGGGACCACCACGGTAGAGGAGTTGCCATGTATGCAAAGAGCAACTTAACAGTGTGAGAGAGGACCTACAAGATTGCCGATGACACAGAGGCCATCCTTCTGACTATAAAGACGCGAGGATTGCAGTCCTTCGGAGGTGTAACTATGTACCTATCATTTCAGACGGATCCCGACGCAGATGCTTGTCTGCTGGAAAGCATAAAAGCGATCGGCAGTCGACCAGACGTGGCACTCGTGGGGGACTTTAATCTACCCTGCACTCAGGGAACTATATGCATGTTCAAAGTGTACCTTTGATCACCGTCTCCCGAAGCCAGCACTAGAAGCTCTTCTCACACAGCATGTTTGATTTCCAACTAGAGGACGTGAAAGGCAACAGGCTAGTTGCTTGGATCTCGTCTTCACCAAATATAATGTCAGTATCAATGAAGTATGCTACCGACCTCCACTCAGTCGAAGTAATCACGCAGTGCTTTTGTGGGAGTAGGAACCACATACTGTACCGTATGCAATAAACGAGTCGAGACTAAATATATGGCAATGGGACTTTTGAAAAATAAGAGCTGCGGCATCACAAACAGACTAGGATGTTCTCTTCTCTGGGAACGTCACAGAGGACTGGAATTTATTCAAGGATCGGTCGTTGCGTCGAATGAAGAGTCACTGTCCTTTAGCAAGGCCTAGGATAACCAAACTACCTCTATAGCTGAAAGGAGATCTCAAGAAGGAGATCAGTAAGAACGGAAGGCTATGGAAGAATTCATTGGAAACAAAGACAATGCGGCCTTTACAGAATACTAAATCCAAGGATTTGATTTTCAAAAGACGACGAGATTTCGAGAGTCATTTGCTTTACCGAGCCGTTAAAAATTCAGAACTTCCCTGCAGCTACCTGCAAAAGACAGTCCATAACAAGAATCCGATTTCTGCCATGAGGAATGATGACGGTTTGGAGAGAATGGACAGCGAAAACAAAGCTGAATATTTGTCGCAGTTCTTCCAATCTGTCTTCACAAGAGAGACAGTTCTATACCACTTACTTCTAAAAGCACGAAAAGTCGATTGTTTAAAATATTCTATTTCGAGAAGAAGCGGTTTCGAAGAACTAGCAAGCTTGATGGAATCTCCCGGTTTGAATGGATTACAACG